CCAACTTATATCGAGTAGATATGGTCCAACTCTAGCCAATGAGGGACTCCAACAATTTCATTCATATCAATATCAGGATGACCTCCCCCCCCCCCAACAAAAAACATTCAAAAAGTGGGCAAAGAAAAAAGGAAAGGAACATTAAAGAAACTGGTAATCTTTTGTAGAAATATCCATTTTCCTGAAATTTTTCAGCAAATGAGGTGGTTAAAGTGTTGTGTTGGTACACACACACACACACACACATATATATAATATGTATATATACGAATTTCTATTGAACCCTCGGTTTTGTGGTAACGTATGCAGGAGGAGCTGGAGCAGCTCGATAAAATGGAAGCAGCCTCAGCTGCGTGCAAGGAGTAAGTATGAATGTGCTTCTACCCTTGACTATGAGATGGAGAAATTTATTACTCTATTATAAAGGGCAAAATTGTCATTTAGTTAATTAGAAAGCGTAAAATATTCTTATAACTGTGTCATTTTTATCGAAGACGTTGATTTTGTGACGAGGGAGTGTATGTCTATCTTTCAGCTAAACTGCTTGGTGAAATGTCAGCATTGATGTGTGACTAATGGTTTTCTAACGTACTTCTTTCTTCGTGTTCTGATAGAATTCTGAGTAACGTGGAGACAAGGCCGGATCCACTTCTTCTTATGTAAGACTTGTTGATTCTTGCTTGCAAAATTAATAATATGGGTCCCGTGAAAAATTGCAATACTTGACATTAAACATGTAGTTTGACGAAGATATGTGCCTATCGTTTAAATGTCTAAAATACCCTTGAACATGACATCTTACTGACCTAGATCAGTATCACGATATGAGGCATTTGAAGGTTGCAAGTTTCATGGGACGGAGGGTATTTTTGTCTTTCTTGTTATCGGTTCCGCCCGGTTTTGAATATGCTTTGTCTTGATCTTACTGCAAAACGATGATTTGCACTCACTTAACACACAGTTTGTGAGGCCAAAAACCAAACTGAACCAAACACCATCAGCGGAGGACAAAAATGTTGAAGTTCTCATGGAACGAAGGGTGTTTTTTGGGCTCTTGTTCTGAATATGATCGGTTTTGTGATATGGCAGGACGAATGGGCCGACGAATCCATCGTGGGATCGATGGTTCGAGGGACCTCAAGATAAGTCAGGTTGCAGATGCTGGATACTGTAACAATATTCTTCGTAAATTTTATTTGATTTCACCGTGCGATGGTGTCATTGTGCAATCTCGTTACAGATATAGAGAACAATCTTCTTTGCCGAGAAGCGGTCCTTGTGCAGAAAAACGTCATATTCTTTTTTCGTTTGTAGAGAAAATTAAAAACCAAGGGAGTTGTTATTGTGGGTTCATTTTGTTATCAAAAGATTTGTCATTTTTTTGCAGATGATCATGTTTCTTGAAATCAAAAGTTTGCATCTTGATGTTACTTCAAACCATCCATCAAAGAGCACATTTCTGCTTTTTGGTCTTCTTCTTAGTTCCTGGTATGGTTCTTTTGTTACAATGGGTTTCATATGATGGGGCTTGTCGAACGGTTCTGGTTCAAATAAGAAGGCTAAATATCGTGAGAAAGTAATAAATGAAAGTAAAGAGAAGATTCATATGTGAATCGTTGAAAATATCTATTTGAATATGCATATGTGAACTAACATTACAGATTATTCATATATCGTTTCATATATATTTATATATATATATATATATCTTCAAATGTATTTTTCCAATTATTCACGTACGAACATTTATTTCTTATATTTACATAATATTTAGCCTTCTTATTTAAATCATCTGCTAGTTTTGATAATTTCAAATTTATCATTAAAATTAGTATTTTTGTAATAAGATCTTGTTTCCTTAAAACTTAGGCCATTTCCGGGTTGATACGCTAAAGAGTTAGGGGTCGTTTACCAAACACTTACCGGGTAAGCGTTTACCGGTAAATTTAACACTATCATTTACTTACCGGATAAGATTTTAGTCCACCAAAACGGTATCGTATACAACAATTTACCCGGTAAGCACTTACCGTGGTAAGAGTCATTGTCCTCAGTTATCAGGTAAGACTCGTGGCCCTTGTCTCGCTCTTACCGGATAAGGTTTTTGATCCTTACTATATTCATCTGGTAAGGTAAAATAACTTGGTAAATTCAGTTACCCAAGTAAACGTTTGGTAAACGCCCCTTAAAATGTCATGATATAGCCACAAGTTATCTCCAATCGAGGTGCTAAAGTACTTCCTGAGTTCTTGGTGGTTCAAAAATAACTCATGTTAGCACTTTAGCATAATTTGATGAAACTCATTTAATTCAAATGTATAAAATAGCAATCTATTTTTATAAATTTTTTTATTATAATATTTTATTATTAATTTTTTTTATTACAACATGTATTTTTCAAATATTTTTATTAAGGTATCGTACTTTAAAAAATTTACCTGTTATAGCATTGGATAACATTTTAAATTAAATTTACTCATTATATCAAGTTTTTTTGCCACCTCATCGTCCACGTAGGCTGTCCACATGTGCGATAGTGCTGACATAGTGACATGGCATTTCTTATTATAACATTGTACTTTCAAAATTACTTTATTATAATATCACCAAATTCTATTACATCATTGTATTTTTAATTTTAATATAACCGCTAAGGCCCATCCTAATACAGTCCTTCTAGATGTATGTATCTTTCTCATTCCCCTACTGTCCTTGCTTGGCTAGCATGCTTCGAAAGCAATCATGTAAGATTAAAAGACTGCTACGATAACTCTTAACAAAGGAAAGAAGGAAAGCAGATCAACACATTTTTATCATTTAAACATTGTAAATTTAATCAAATATGTTTAGTAAAAACTATAATAAATATTATTTGAAATCATAATATTTTTTTTTTATTTTTTTTAACATATTATAGAAGGCAAAAGACACCCAAATCGATAACTTTTTTAGTATTAACATATATGTAATAATATATCAAACAGAGTACATCAAATTTAATCTTTTTTACCATTATGTAAGTTTTTTATTAAACTAAATATTATATTTTTTAAAATAAAAAAACACTCTCTCTTAAAACTCTATAAACAAATCAAAATAACTAACACATACAACATCACCAATACAATTTAATATTAAATTTTTTAGTAAACATATTTGAATTACAATATTTAAATGATAAAAATATTAAAATTAAAGGTACAATGTTGTAATAGAAATTAGTGATGTTATAATAAAGTAAATTTGAAAGTACAATGCTACAATAAGAAATATCATGTCAGTAGATGTGGACAGCCTACATAGACGATGAGGTGGCAAAGAAACCTGGTATAGTAGGTAAATTAATTTAAAAGGTTAGCCAATGTTATAACGGGTAAAATTTTGAAAGTATGATACCGTAAATAAAAAATATTTTGAAATTACATTGTTGTAATAAGAAAAACTGAAAGTAAAATATTATAATAAATTTTTTTGTAAAAATAAGTTGTTATTTCATGCATTTTATCCTATTTTATTTTAATTGGTTAAATGTTTAATAATTTAAAAAGTTGTAAAAAAAATACCAACAATAAGATATAAAAATATAAATTTAATTAATTTACTAAAATTAATTAATATACATAGAAAAAATATAGTTAACTAAAATATATAAATTGAAGATTAAATTACATTTTTTGGTCCATGTCGTTACCACTTATTATCAATTCTAATCATTATTTTAAATTAATCATAGTTTAAGTTTTAGTCATTGTGGTTGCGGTTGTTTCACTTTTGGTCCCTTTACTTAACTTTTGTGGGAAAAAGAAGTCTAGAGTAAACCACAAATTTGGTCTATGTGGTTTGATGGTTATAACACTTTTAGTCCTTATAATTTTGAAATTACAAGATAGTCAATGTGATTTACAAAATTAAGCGGATTTGATCCCTGCATCTAATGATCGTTAAAAAATCCCTTTAACAGGGGATTTTAGACCTTTTACAATATTATGTCATTTTTGTTTAAAAAATTTTAAAAAATATTTTAATCCATGTGTCCTACCCACATGTTGCAACCCTTTCCATCCATCATTCTCCGGTTAAACTCAGCCCCTTCAGATCATCTTCTTCGGTCAAACCCAATCTTTTCAGGCCATCTTCTCCAACCACAAACAACATCAAAATGAAACCCAAACACCAAAATCAAACCCGAACCGTAAAGTCAAAATCAACATCAAACCTAAATCCACATTCAACCCCATACCCTAAAATAAAATAAAAAATATATTTTTTAAGGAAAAATAACAAGATTATTTGTGGGGATTTCAAGACCATTATACCCCTGTTTCAAGATTCAAACTAAAAGTTGAAAATAGAAAGAAAAAAAAAAAGACAAGGTTTGATTGGGTGGTACGACATATCAGTGAGGTTGGGGTGATTTTGTAGCATATTAGGTGGATAGGGTAGATCGTGGGTTGGGGTGGTTTTATGGCAAATATGTAGAGAGGGAAAAGTAGAGGAGTAGGGAAATAGGAGGGGGTGGGGTTGTCGAAATTGGGTAGCAAAGGAGAAGGATCTATGCAGTGAGGTCCTTGGAGGTGGTTACGAACATAAAGGGGTGGGCATGGGACTGGTGCTCAAATGGATGGATAAGAAAGGAGGGTCGTGAAAAGGGGTCTTAGTCATGGTTGATGGAGGCAAGGAGAAGCACGATTGCAAGCCTAGTCGTGGCTAGGGGAGAAGCATCAGCCTTTTGCTTTGGCTGCCAAGTGGTAACTGGCGAAGGCTTTGGTCTCTGACTACTTATAACTGGCGAAGATGATGTTCCCTGGCGAGTTCCATGATTTATATATTACATATATTTACAGTTTTGGTCTATGGTATTTTGTACATAAATACATATATTATATAATTAACATATTAATAAAAATTTGATTTTTTAAACAAAAACGATATGATATTGTAAAAAGTCTTAAATGCCCCTCATCTACAGGTTTCTTTTAACAACCTTAGAAACAAGGATCCGTTAGAGATAGGGACCATATCCAGTTGTTTTTCCAAACCACAATTGCCATCTTGTAATTTTGAAACTGTATGGACCAAAAGTACTATAACCACCAAACCATAGGGACCAAATTTATAGTTTACTCAAAAGTCTATTAGCCTAGGGATATTTTGGTCTTTTTATTATTTCATTAATTTCAATTAAAAATTAAATACATATATACATAATTTTATATAAATATATCAAACTCAAAAACATTCCTCATGACGGTGGTCATGTCCGATGACTTTTCCAACATCATCTTCGATTAAGCCTAGTTTATATAAACATATCAAACAAACCCAAATGGGGAATGTTTTTGAGTTTGATACTTTGGTATATGTATAAAATATTTGATAAAAACTTTTAAAAATTTATATTTTATTCAAAAATAAAAAACATTGTCGCATTTTCAAAATCACATAAGATCATATTATAACATTGACTTAGATAAAGAATAAAACAAAATATTCAAATCAAGATCTATTTTGCTGCATTATGCAAGTACCTTTCTAGTAATATATAATATATAATAATATATGTATTTAATATTTATAATTGAAATTAACGACAAAAGGTCCCTTCGTTAATGCAAATGTCTTTTTTTAACAAAAGTTAGTTGGAGGGACCAAAAATGAAACAAATTGACAATTATAGTGTTCAAAACTATAATTAGTTTTAAGTAAGGACTATAATTGATAATGAACGATTTCCACAAAGACCAAAAATGTAGTTCACTCTAAATTTAACAATTTTACTGAAAATAACCGGTATACATAAAAAATGGTTTTAGTTAAATCATAAACTTATAAATGGATAACAAATATATGAAATGCTATATTTATCATTGACCGATGACGACGATCAGTTCTATTTTGATGAATAGTACAAATTTGAGCACTGAAATTTAACAATATGTTATATTTACCTTGGTAAACACTTTTTTTTCGATTATGCCCTTGATTAATATTAATTGTTATTAATTAATATTATTTTTAATTTAATAATTAATTAATATTAAATTATTAATTAATTTTATAATATACTAATAAATAATAAATATTTGATAATTGAATAATCAATAATTAATTAAATTATAGTTATTAATTAAAATTTTAATTTAATAAATTAATAAATATTAAATTATTTTTGACCTTCAGGGACGGAATTTCCGGTCGCTGACTGTCCTAATAAAACGGGTAGGTCACGCCGCATACAGACCAGATCGAGCAATAGAGGAGAGGAGATCGAGAGTGATTGCGACCAGATCGAACACAGTTCTCTTCGACACCAGCCATGGAGCCACCGCCGCGGGTCAATCCAGTCGATGCCACCACCGGTCAATCCTGCCGTTGTAAGTTTGATCCAAAACAGCCTCTGTGAGTTCGATATCCCTTATCTGAGTTC